CTATACTTGCTGGATTCCCCAAATATTCAACTCTCATACACATATATTGGATTCATTGTATCTATTATAGTTTTCGCTATAACACTGACTCTTTAGAACTCTCCCTTTATTACATAAACATCCTGTTATATAGTTTGGTAAGGGAAGATAGTACCTAACTTTCCCTAATAATTAAGTCATTAAGCAGATGTACATATTGATTGATTAACAATAGTGATTAAGAATAGTCGTTACACAATGATTAGTTATATGATCTTCCTAAGTGGTATTTGTTCTAAATCTTAATGACTTACATACATAAACATGTATAAAATAATAAGGGCTAACAGAATATAAACAACAACGATTATACATAACAAAATTTCGTTTCAATCTCTTAACAATAGATTATAATTGAGATGAAATCCTGGCTTCGAGCAATACTTCTCAATTACTTGAGATTCCTTCATTAACATATGGCATCAAAATTGCGGATCTCTCGTAAACTGGACAGGTTCTTTACCAGTTCACTTCGTCTCTTCAAAACAGATACAGTTTTTTAACTGTAGTTCACAAATCCATTTACGAAATCATTCACAATTTAAGCGTTTCAGTTAACAAACTAATATTTGTACCGACAAAACTGAACTGACAAATAAACAAAGTTAAGTTAAGAAGTGTAATAAGATTTATATCATGGAGCATTCATTAGCTCAAAATATAATTAATGAAACAATATGAACCAATTAAGGTGACTTCAGGAAGGAAGGTGGAAAAAAAAATGCTTTTAATTGGTTTTTATTAGTGTTTCGCGAACAAAAAAAAATTACCGGATAATGAGCGCATGTGGTCAATTAAAATATTAAATAAAAATAATGCGAGGAAGGCGAAGCTGAAGACGATGTTTTGTGCCGTTAATTGAACGCCCTTCATAAATAAACATGCATGAGAGTAATGCGTAAAATGTTATGTAAATAATTTTAATAATAATGTGTTATATTATAAAACGCGTTAGCTTAGGTTAGTTTCGCAGGAGAAAAAGTAAAAAAATCTTAATCATTTGGATCGATTAGTCGAAAATTTATGCGTAACGGTATTTCGAAAGTCGCACAAATAGCAATAAATAAGTTGATAATTTTGAGTCGAAATATCGAAAGAATCTAAGAATAGTTTTGCAGAAAATCAGAACCGGAATCTGTACAGAGTGATGCAGACAGCCTGCTTTGTTTAAACAATCCCTCAGATTTCTTAACAGAAGGAAGAGAAAAACTTGAATTCAAATAAACAAGCATCAATATTTGTCACCATTAATATCATAATTGCTTTGGAAACAAAAGAAATAAACAATTAACAACGCTCTCCGACATTTCCAATCGTCACATCCAATCATCACAAACGAAAAAAAAAACAACGCAATCCAATTGACTTTCATTAACCGACATTTCTCAAATATTTCAACACATTTAAATATCGTCGCAATTGCCTTGAAATAATAACAAAAACAAAACTTCGAACATTTGACGTTTCCAATGTACGTCAAAAACAATTAGTGGTGGTTGTAATCAACATGTGTAATTAAGTGCTAGTTCTTGCAACAATCGATTCCAATTAATCAGGAATATCGAAAAACAGTAAGTCTTGAAAGGTAATTCTGAGATTTAATTAATGAAACACTGCAAATGTTGCAATTCGTTGATAACCAAAAAAAAACAAAAAGTAATAGACGTCATCGTGATTCGAAGCTTTTGTTTTAGCGAGTTTACGAATGTCGCGCTACTAAAATCCTCATTGGAATACGGTGCGAATTGATGGCGTCCGCATCTTAATTGCATATTTATGTCAGCGTCAATAA